TACTCTGTGTGTACCAGAGAGTGCCGACAGCCCCATCGTCTCTTCCACCACCCCCAAGGCTTGCCTTACGATGCTTGAAAAGTGATTTTTTTTTTTTATGTAATGAGTCTTTGCCCTTTTAATGTCCTCACATATTACTGCAACCATGAGTATCGATAAACGATTTTTAAGGTCTCAAGCCTCTAGAATTACCAATGACTGCAGAGAAGGGTAAATTTATTTGTTTGTACCTACGACTTACACATGATAACCTTTGAAATATAGATATTTACAACATTAACTCAATTCGTAGTAGTTTTATATCCCCCCCCCAAAAAAAATGATAAAAATAAAATAATTTAAATCTTAAGTAGGATTTATATGTAGAAGTCTGTTCTCAAATGCATTTTTAGTTTATAACAACCACAAAAAATGTGTGTACACATTAATATACATTATACACGATGGTTTGAAGATATTTCCACTCACGCTGAAACTGTTAGTGTCAAAATATTTAACTGTAAACTTAACCACAACTATCGAATACAATATGTATATTTTATGGATAAAACAAAATGCAAACCACAAATTCAAAAATTTCAAATAGATAATTTCTTGGTATTTTCAGCCTTAAATGACATCTTATGCGAAACACAGGCTAAACGGCCAGATAATAGACTCCAGACATAACCAGTCCTAATTTAAAGCTGCTGACACGAGAGTAGACAACCAGTTAGCAGCATCACCTTTGTGGTTACTCTGAGCCAAACAGCGGGATTAACTGTCACCGTTCTGAAGCCCCTGTAAATGAAAGTGGGGAGAATTTTCTGCAGCATATAGCGGCGCAAACTTTAGCACTCGAGACATCGTTCGGCCCACAGACATTGTTATTCTAGAGATTTCTGATCAATAAAAAATAAACATATGTTGATGCATAGCATTGAGTCGTAGCAGAATGCACTTGAACCCCTTTCTGGCAATTATTTTTATTTTTCTAGTTTTTTGTTCTTATTTCGTTCACTTATTGTTTTAATGTTCCGTCGTTGTAATAAAGACAATGCATGGCGTGAAGTTGATATAAATACTATATACTAAAGTAAAAAACACTGATGATTGACTGACCCTAAGCATAGTTGGGATACTGCATTATTATATTTAAAGCAAAACGGCTACTTAGATTGGGAAAAAAGAAAAGAAGCTGAATTTAACAAAAGTTATCAAAATAAAAACTTTATGATTTGAGGATAAACTAGGAAAGGCTTGACTGTTTACTAAAAAGAAAGGCGCACATAAGATGAGCAGTAGAAGTGTTAATATGACAATCGGAAATGATTCTGTTTAAAAACTCCACTGCTGTGTTTACAATTAATCTTATACCTGCAGCTGATAAATCGCAAAAAAAAAAGAAAAGAAGAGAATCGTAAGCATCTGGAAATATCTTCGGTCCATATGACAGTCAGAGTGCTGTTCCACGTACACGAGGTATAGTATGGCACAATACAACTGTCCCATGAAACAGTATGGATAGCTTCCGTGACTGGACGATGCTACAGGAGTCAGGGCGTGGCTTAGCGTACCCGAACTGTGAATCCAATGATTCATGATTCGAAACCAATTGTCGCAAAATTGGTGCTCCGCACTAAACGGCCGTGGGTGTACTAAAAAGCGATGGTCAAATCCAACATTTCGATTATTAAAGAGTAGCCTAACTGTTGACTAGCTATCTTCACTCTAGTTTATTAGTTCAAGATTATGGACAACTATACACAGATATGTCTTATGTAGCTTTGCGTGAAATTCTTAAACAAACGAAACTACAGAGAATAACATTTACAGTTGAACTGAAACATACCTCTATTGGATTGAGTGTGTTCCAAATTTTTAACATTAGAAAAAAAAAATTAAATATGAAATATTATGCATGTTAATCTTTTTTTTCTTTCTTTTTAGATAAAATAGATAGCCTAGCACTATCTTGCAGGAAAACATGACAAGTTTCACGTGGGCTATCAGCGTTAGCCTTCTCTAATTTAGCAGTGTAAGGCTAGAGGGAAGGCAGCTAGTCATCACCACCCACCACCAACTCTTAGGCTATTCTTTTACCAACGAATAGTGGGATTGACCATCACATTATAATGACCCCACAGATGAAAGGGTGGGCACATTTAGTGGCACGGGGATTCAAACCCGCGACCCTCAGATTGTGAGTCGAGCATCCTAACCACCTGGCCATAATATAATAAAAATAGATATATTACATAATCTAACCAATAGTGTTAAAGAAAGAAACATAAAAGAAAGATAAGGGAATATCTCACATATGGATGTGTAAGTTTGAGCTGTTGAAAAGTTCTTTACTAGGAAGTGCTGGAGGGTAAACTCTTTAGCTCAGTTGGCTGAGCACTAACCTGACGTGCAAGAGGTCTCTGGTTTTAACCCCAGCCGAAATAGTCAATAAAATTTAAATTATTGCAAGAAAAAGCAGGTAGCCAATTAATGAGAAGCAAAGAATATAATATTTGAGTTGTTAAAAAATAACTTATTAAGAAGTGCTAGTTTCTTAGTTAGTTCAGTTGGTAGAGCACTTTGCATGGTATGTGTGAGGTCTCTGGTTCATATCTGATAAAATTAAAAAAGAAAATTAGATTACTTTACTAGTGGTTAATAAAATGAAGCTAGCATCAACAAGTGCTTATATATTTAAGTAAAAAAAAGAGCTTTAAGCACAATCCTTCATATAGTGCTTACAACAATAAAACTTTGAAAAGAAAGTAAAAAGTAAATCAGGCCATCCAATGCTGCAGGCTTTCTTTATCTTCAATACTAGGAACACACCTCTCCTGAAGTGACTAATGTCACATTTACTTACAGTAAATTAGCTTCTAGAAAATATCATGCAAATGGTTGAGCAAGTGTAGCAAAAAGTAAAGAATAAAAAAAAAAAATCAATACACACCCATATAGCTTTGTTTGAACTGTTTAAAGACATGCAGTGTAAAACACAAAATGGTGTAAATCAACACCCTTACCACTACCACTAGGTGCACAGCATCACCAGTACCTCAGGTTAAGGGGTGCTACTGCAATTCTACTTCCATGACTTTGTATACTACATTTAATTTTTGGCAACGGAAATTATAAGCTTATCCACTTGATATTATTTGGTAAGTGCCATCTTTGATTTGTATGACAAATGTTAAAGAATTAGTTATACAAAACTTTGAATTTTTTTGGAGAAAGAGAGAATACTTAACTCATGCCCAAAAATTAAGAGTGATAAAGTTTGTGGAAAATAAATATTTCTGACCATTGCTTTAAAAACTGTACAGTTATTTCATGTATCAAAAATTAAATTTAATGTGTCAGAGATCATAGATCTGTGCTTTTATATTTTAAACCTTTAATGTTATGTTGGTATTTTTCCTGAGTTCTGGTAGTTCCAAACAGGAAAACCTGTATGTTAAAACAATGTATAATGATTATTATATTGTTTTATGATAAAAATTTAAAAAAGCTGAATAGTTGTTACAGATAATGATGAAACTTATACCAGCAGTTAAGTGTTTCTTCTTCACTGTTACAATCTGAGATGTTAACTAATACAAAAGTTGGATTCTCAACTTGAGATGCAAATCCAAGAAGTGTTAAATTTGACTATATGAAGATTTCAAATACCACAGTTAAACAAAGCTGGAGAGTTGCTGCTGTTTATGGTGCAACGTTTTGACATCCTACTAAAGAAATAACTATTTGTGGCATGTACTAGTAGGAACTTCTACAGCTTAGTTACCTAGTTGGATATCCATGCAATTGTGTTTTGGCTTTCTTACATATGCCTGTTAAAATCACACTTTTATTTTGCTGTTTTAAATTATAAGTAAACTACATATTATTCATTTAAAATAATCTCTGACTCATAACTTATTCATAGAGTAAGGTATATCTAAACATTAATATCTTCTTTAATTAGCAGGTATTTTATCACAGAAAAAAAATAGTAAGTGTATTTTAACTGGGACAACATCAAAAACAACGTTTTCTAGAGAAATTAGGAAGTCTGACAAACATGTCAACTTTTACTTTTGTCATAAGAAATATCTAAAAGTAAAATAATTTATTTTTTTTACTATTTCTTAGTGCTTTACTAAAAGTTATAGTGATGAAAATCATTGGAAGACTGTACTTAGTTGTTTACAAGTACACAGTGCTAATATGTTTATTCACAAGATATTCTGTAAATTACTAAATCGACACAGCTAAATGCCAACTAGAGTATAATTTAAAATCATCTGAACAATTTAACTTATATTTGCACTGAAAGAAGCGAAATAAAATAGTTGCACTAAATCTAATAAAAGAAAAGCACACTATCTTATAGTAGTAGTAGGCCTCCTTCGGCCAAGTTTGACCATGGATGAGCATCCGTCCATTGTTAGCTCATGTTGATTGCTCGTCTAGAGCAGCGTCTCTTGTGACTAAGGAGACCGACACAAGAGTGACAGTCCCGGTTGAAGAGGTCACATATGTGCGTTGATGCTGGTCTGTTTGCTGCCTGTTCCTTTTGATGAGCTCGCTTCTCTTCTACCGCCACCGTCAATTCCTCTTCTCCAATCTTCAGCTGTTTACGGAGAGTGTTTCTCCAGTTGGCGCGATCGGCAGCGAGGTTCTCCCAAGTTTCGGTGTTGGTGTTGAGCACCTTCATGTCTCTTTTGCAAATATCCTTGTATCTCAGCTGCGGGCAGCTGATGCCTCTCTGTCCTTCGGCAAGCTCTCCGTAGAGGATGTCTTTTGGGATTTGGCCATCCTTTATACGGCGCACGTGGCCTATCCAGCGCAACCGGTGCTGTCGTAACAGAGTGTACATGGTAGATCGGTTCGTACGAGACAAGACATCGGTGTTAGTTACCTTGTCTTGCCAAGAGATATCAAGTATGCGTCGCAGGCTTCTGAGGTGGAAGGTATTCAGTCTTTTCTCTTGGCTGGCATAAGTAGTCCACGTCTCGCTGCCATATAGAAGTGTGCTGAGGACACAGGCGCTGTATACAGACATCTTTGTCTTCACGGTCAGCTTAGAGTTTGTCCACACTCTTAGCGTAAGGCGAGCAAGCATCGTGGTTGCCTTTCCAATCCTCCTGTCGATCTCAGCATCAAGCGAGAGGCTGTCAGTAATGGTAGAGCCAAGGTAGATAAACTGGTGAACGACATCGAACTATCTTATACAGTTACACCAAATTTATAACATTATAAATAAGGAATAACCAAATAACATTATCTAAAAAACAATGTGTGACCCCTGTGGTACCGGGATATAATATTACATAATATATAAACCATACCACCAAGAGTAACCTTTATCTTGTATCTTATACTCTTTCAAACTATTGCTTAGTCACAAGAAATATAGATTTAAGCATTAATCCATAAGAATCTAAAGGTCACAACAAAGGGAAAAACTTATCATCATCCTACAGACACTGTTACATGAGCTAGCAATCACATAATTTCTGAAGATTACTTAGCTGATATTTAAGACATGAATAAAGATAGATGGGAATAATCAAAAATGAAAAAAAAACATTGAATATTATTTAAAAACAGGATTATATAACAAGAAAAAAATGTTTAACAATATGTATGAAAATTGTTTTATTCAAAATTGGTTGTAATTTATCAAGTTAGAGCATTTGAAAAAATAGATTGCTTTGTTATTGAAGCTGAAAATCCTGTTTGGTTTTAAATAACCTACAACGATGTTTAAAATATTTAACTACAGTATATGTGTACTGATATAATGATGATAAAATAATAGCTATGATGTGTAGCAAACTCCAATATATAATTTATGAAACTGAAAATTCTGATCAGTGTATCAATGATATACAGGATATATTTGTATATTTTTCAGTAGCATGGTATAACATTTTATATAAATTTCTTTAAATATGACACATCTTCTGTCTTACTTATATAACAGTGGTGTCTGTAAAGATTAAAATCACCACTGATGGATATAAATTTGTGAGAAAATATTTCAAACAGAAACAGAAATTTTCATGTTTAATGTACTAAAATATATGAATCATCTTATATATATACAGTGATATGTATGTGTATATGTTTCAGAAAACTTCATACAGAGCTCACAGAAAATTATGAATTATTCTATATGTACTGCTATAGGTGTCAGCATATATTTCAGATGTGTATTGGGTGAATCAAGATTTATGAATTATATTAAATATGTTTCTTATCATATGCATCTGCATACTTTCTTTAATATATTTATTTAAAATGTACTAGTGTTTATGATTCATGTTATTTCCAGTGATTTGTGTTTACACATGTTTTGGAACTATTTGTATAAGGTATACCATGGTTCATGATAGATGTCCCACAAATGTTTCTAGTTATGTGTCCTCTCATCAGGCATTACTGTTCATGTTATGCCAGCATTTATACACTATCTTTTATGTAAAATCCTGGTGTTTGCACCAAAGATGATAATGCCTGTTAAGACTAACTATAGGTAGTTAATTTAAACAAGACTATTTATTCTTCTTCCAGGAGAATTACACAATATCTTACTAACAAAAAAATGGCAGATTAGGTGTTCAATACAGTTTTACTTATTTTAATAATAAGTATAACTAATTATTCACATGCTAGTTTGGTGTCAAAGCTGGAGATAGCAATGGCAAATGCTTGAAGACCACACATGGGGTACCTGTAATCCAATGTAAAGATGTCTTCATCCACTCGGCCAAATTGCATTATGATGTAGCCCACTGGAAATAACAAAACTTAACTTAAATATTTCTCTACAAAACACATCTGAAAAAGTTAAAATATAAAAAGGTACAATACATACATAAGACACAAAATATTCATCTTAAAAACTAAAGCATTAAACATCATAACATTTTTTAAGGAATTATAACATAAAATGTTTAATACACAAAACTACAAAAATATTTTAAAGAATTACAGCATAAAAAGAATAATATAAAGTAATATCAAGGCTGGTAATAGATTAATAATTGCTTTATGCAGAAATTAAGGCTTCACTTCTACTCACACTAGAGTCCCCAAGTATTTATGGCACCAAAGAAATTGTCACCTTAGGCAGCCACCTATGTTTGCTATCTGTAATGCTGGTCATGAATATTAGGTTGACAAATAAGTTTTTTGTGTGTTATACAGAGGGTCAAAAATATTATATTAAAATTATCTTGAATATGTAAATCATGGGACAGTTGTATTTTGTCATAATATATCTTGTGTATTTGGAACTGCTCTACGACTGTCATATGGATCAGAAATATTTTTAGATGCACATGATTCCTTTTTTTATTGGTCAACTGCAGAGAGATTTTGAATTATTAACACAGCATTGGAGTTTATAAACAGAATCATTTCTAACTTTGGAAAATCAGTAGAAAGAAGTCTTATCTTTGTTTCACCTGTTTTATTAACATTTCTACTGGTCTAGTGTGCAACTTTCTTTTTAGTAAACACTCAAGTCTTTTCCAGTTTATCCTCAAATAAAGTTGATTTTGATTAATCTTTTTGTTAAATTCAGTTTTCTTTCTTTGTTTTCAATTTAAGCAATCATGGCACTTTAAATATAACAATGCAATAGTCTGACTACGTGTACCATCAGCTGATCATCATTTTCTTCTACTATAATAAATAAAGTGTTTATTTCAACTTCACACCAAATACTGTCTCCTTTACTTTGACAACAATAACTCGCTACATCAGTCCTTCTGTAAAGGTCCATGAATCTCTAGTAATTGCTAAGACAAGATAACTGTGTCCTAGGTTAATGTTTGAAATGTTACTTATATATACAGTGCACATGTACCAAAAAAAAAAGTTCCCAAATGCACTATAAAATTTCAACAACAGTAAAAATTAACTAAAAATAATGTACTACTTCTATCAAAGTTTTTAGTTAATGAAAACTAAAAGGAAAATTTTTGTAGTTTTAGTTTTTATTTTATTAACTTATTGCTTTAATTTTTCGTTTTGGCTGTGTTTAAAAACTGGTGAGATTGAAAACGATGGTTTCTATTCAAAGACATTTTTCAATACTTTATCCACTGTCACTATCACAAAAATTAATCAGCTGATCATACTTTACTGAAGATGTGTGTTACAAGGTCATAAATAATAATAACCCATAAACTTTGCATATGACAGAGCAAAAAAAAAGAAGTATATACAGTACAGACTTGCCATTTGCTTCCCCAACGGTGCGTATTATTTCATTTAAAAGGATTTTTAATTTATTTATTTCTAATTTAATATCTGGTGCTTATCAAGTCTAAAGGGAAATGTAAATTGAATCACATCAATGGAAAATGCTGCACACACACACACAATAAATTGACAAAAATACCAAATGTTTCATTCTGTCTTATGCATAAGTAGCATGAGTTTGCTGTCAAAACTTCCCAAAATGAGGTGACGGCGATATTCTTTGACACAATTTCACATGTGTGTGTGTGTAGTCAAGTTCAAACACAGTTTGCTGTAAAAAGAGATTTTATTCATTGTCAAAATAGTTCTAAAAAGTACCAAGACACCATTCTGGTTACCTACACAAGTGCCAAGGTTCCAGTCTGTTCCATTATAACTCAAGTGCTATGTATATGTACATATGTTTATTTTTTGTTGATTATAAATCTATAAAAGAATAATGTCTGTAGGCCACATGAAGTCTAATGGCTTGGGTGCCAAGGTTTGAGCCATGATATGCTGTTGAGCATTCTCTCCACTTTCAGCTACAAAGACTTCATAACTGTGACAGTTTATCCCACTTTTCGATTCAGAGTAACCACAAAGGTGGTTAATGTTGTTAACTGCTTGACTATCCTCATGTCAGCAGTTCTAAACTAGGGATGGTTATGCCTGAGATCTCTAATCAGGGCATTTAGCCCTAGTATCACATAAGGTGTCATTAAGGTTGAAAATACCAAATACCACAAAATATTCTATTAGAAAAATTTATATTTTGTGGTTTCCATTTTGCTTTATTTGTAACTAGTTGTAGTTAAGTTTTACACTTCAATATCTTGACAGTAACAATTTCTCAGCATGAGTGAAAATACTTTCAAACTATCATGTATATTATTATACACACATATATTTTGTGGTTGTTATAAAGTAAAAATGTCACTTTGATGTAAGCTTAATTTTCCCTTCCTTCTGCCCTCCAGTGGCTACAAGTTAGATTTTGATACCTGTGGTTGCAACACTGTGCAGAGGACATTAAAAAGGGCAGGGTCTAATTAACAAAAAAGGGTACTTTTCATCATCTTAAGGCCAACCTTTGGAGGTAAGGGTTGGGGGGTAGAGGAGACTATGAGTTGCCTCTGATACACATAGGATAAAAATCCATAAGAATCAAACAGATCCTCATTTATTCCTATTCAACTGGCCTTATAAAAACTTTTATGATCTAAAACCAAACAAAGTGAATTTTTGTGTACTAACACTTAACACCATTTTACAATTTTTTTTTAACTATAAAGAACTGCAAGTCCTTGTGTGCCATTCATTTTAATGCTGAAATCTTTTTTTTTTCCCTAATAACTCACAGCAAGCAAGTGTGGAATCATGTGTTTCTTTTTTTTTTGTAGTTGTTGACAATTTTTATGACAGAGAAATAAAGGGCACTTTTGGGGTATAAAAAATCTAGGCATATTGATCACATATTATTTTTCAGCTTTTATATATAATACACTTGTTTTGTATCATTTAATAAATAAAATAAAACTTATACAAACACTATTACATTTGATTTGATTTGTTTTAATGACCATTTTATTAAAAATGTAGAATCAATTTCAGCTTTATAATTTATTAGCTGCCCCTTAAAACTTTCTGACCCCCCTGAGTGGAAACCTGACTATGCCACTGAGACAGGGGCTGGAGTCCACCCAACCATTCACCTGTGCTCATTACTGCTTTTTACCCTGTTAACAGCATGAACTCAGTAAGTAACCAACTTGATTCAAAAGATAACAAAATAAAAGGTGTTAAAGACTTCCCAACTCCAAGAAACTGCAAAGAGTTAAGCACATCCTTTGGTATGTGTGCTTGGTAAAATCAGTTCATTCCAAACTTTGCTACAAATGCTGAATCTTTATATCAGTTATGAAGAAAGCATATCAGTTGGAAATGGACCCCCCAGTGTGAGGATGCATTCCAGAAATTAAATCAGGCTTTATGTGAATCCCCCATCTTGCAACTTCTAAGAAAAGGTGAACATTATTTTCTGCATACTGATACTTCAAATGTTGGACTAGGAGCAGCTCTGTATCAGAAGGGTGTCATAGCATATGCCAGTAGAACACTGCAGAAAGAAACTATACTACTACTAGAGTTAGAATGTCTAGCCACAGTCTGAGCTGTAGAAAAAGTTAAGATATACCTAGACATGCTTCCTTTAAACAGTTACAGATAGCTCTGAAGTTAACTGGTAGACTGGTGCATTGGTCAATAAAACTGCAGGACTTAACATCTGAAATACTTCAAAGAAAATGAAGAGAGAACCAGTAACCTGATGCCCAACCTAGACATCTTACTGATCACCCAGAAGAAACTACAGAACTGGACATCGGTAAGCTATCACCTAAACTTTTTGCTATTGTCAATGTTAACACAAGAGAACAATTGGCTACTGAACAAGCTAAAGATGATGAATATAACCATATATACTCTTATTTTAAAACTGAACTATTACTAGACGATTCTACTATAGTTGCAGAGACTGTAAGTAAACCCAAAGACTATGTCTTGAATGACAATGTTCTTTATTACATAAAAAGGATTGCTAGAAATGGTGAATTCAGACCAGTTATTCCCATAACGTTGAGACTAGTGATGTTAATTGAATTGCATGATCAGCCTATAGCTGGTCATCTAGGTGTCTGAAAAACAATAGACAAAGTATCCAGATGTGATTATTGGCCTGGTATGAGAAAGAACATTAAAAATTATATGTTGTCTTGCTGTTTGTCAAACCACTAAGTTTGATCAGAAGCAGCCAGCTGGGTTTATGCAAAGCACTAAACTACACTGGTGAAATAATAGGAGTAGAAATCATGGGACCTTATCTTAAATCTAGTACAGAGAATAGTTATTTGTTGGTTGTAGTGGCATGTTGTTTTAGATCATTATATTGGTGCTCAAACAGGGACCTTTTTCATAAAGGTTGAGTTGTGACATTGGATTGCTTTTGTTAATTCAGTGCCAAGTGATTAATTCAGTAATAATTTAATTTCAGTTAAATATAACTTAACTTGCATTGGAAAATAACTTTTACTATGGAAGTTAGTGAATCTTATGTGGCAAGTTTGAAGCAGTCTGTGTCAGTATTTACAGAGCAGGTAAAAATGCTGATATGTATGATGACTGATTTACTTGTAAGAGAAACGAAGTTTCCCTCCCTTCAACCTTCTATAGTTCATTCTACCTGTAGCCCTGTGGAAAGTTCATTGATTTATGTCACCACAGTCAATCCACCACCACTGCCTGTTGAGAAGATTGACAGTATGTCAAATTTTAATGTCTTAGAGTTTCTTAAAAGTTTGGAAAGGCATTTTTATATGTATAAAGTACCTGAGAATAAATGGGTGAAACTGAGATATCTTGTTTGAGGGGAGGGCCACTAGAATGGTGGAAGGCTTTCAGACAGAAATGGCTTTTGAACACTGGGGCAAACTTAAAGAAACCTTGACTAATTTGTTCCCCGCAGTGTTAGATAATATCGAAATGG